TGTTAGCATGTTTTACAGAAAGCCTCCATTTAATGTAACAATCGCTTTTTATTGGTTACAAATTGATACATTTTCTTCTCTGAAAAAATGTAAAAACTTGTTTTGAATTTCTTAACCAGTATAAAGTTATCAAGCTTTAAAATGATTACTAATCGGTATTATACATGCATGAGTATACACGTCACAGATCCATTACAGACACACAAATATAAACAGGTGCTCAAGGCTAAGGTGAGATTTTAAGATACAAAAGGTGGAAAAAAACCTGCAGAAATGCTGATCGTTACTTTCATCCAGTGAAACCAATGCAGGGAAACTCAAAGCACTCAAACGAGATGGAAGAGAAAGCTCTCAGCAAAGAATCAACTGATGGACAAAAGTGTACCTGTGGCACTCGCCGGGTCCAAAGGTGGAATCGAATTGTGAACTTAAAAGCATCGGATGAAGAGTGCTGGTGAGTCCACATTTTAGACATTTCCAATGTTCCCATCCAGCGCACTCTGCAACGAGTGGGTAGCTAAGTGTTCTGTTTATTGCTCTGGAGCACTTGGACAAGAATCAGGTCCTCTGTGAGAACTGAACCACTGACCATTTTGTCACCATGACAATTACATAAATACTCTGATTAAATGTCACGTCCTCAAACGCGCGTTCACCGGAGAGGCACTCGTATGTCGTCACTGCTGCAGATGCTTTCTAATATATCAGCGTTGTCCTCGATATGACTGAAGAAACTCAGGCCACCCTCACTGCTTCCACAGGAATTAAGAGGCAGCAGCTGCAACAAGCTTGCAGGCCTCAGTTAGCGTGTTAAAAGTTAAAGTTTGCGACAGTATAGTTAGAAAAAAGCCTGAACAACTGTGACTTGTTTGGAAGAGTTGCCAGCAAAGAGCGTCCACACTAGAAGAACACGGCAGCATGGCTCAGCTTTGCTAAGTTCTTAACAAACCACAAAACTTTGTTTGTCCATAATGCACAGCACCGCTTTTGGTGAAAATCAAACAGCATAAACACCTCACGCCAGCTGTTGGTGGAGATCTGATGATTTGAAGATGTTTGAAGGTGTGTCAAAGTCCAGTCCGCAGCACTTCACGTGAAGGTTGGGCGATTGGATGAATATATCGACTATCGATGATAGGCTGAGCCCACCGGCGATCGTGTTTACAGGGGGCGATTTATTCATTTGCCCACGAGTAAGTTTGCTAATAATGACGGAGCTAATAGAAGCAGTCAACAGAAAATAATATTAGCGCTGTTTTAACAGCACCCTCTTTCATCTGCGAGCAAGTGCCCCCTCCTCAGAGTGCGCCCAAGTGCTTGTTGTAAATCAGAACGTGCATGATTACATTGCTCCGCCCATCAAAAAGTCTGCGCATGCACAAATACATCGCCCATCGTCGATTACTCGACTGATGATTGTCGGCGATTTTTTACATATCGCCCAACCCTACTTCACGTTATTGCTGCTAAAGGTAGTTCTACAAGCACCTGAATCACGGGGGGATCTTTTATTTCCTTTGGTTCACAGTTAATCTGTGTTAGAGTTAAAGGACATGTTCTCAAGCGTGGCGGTTACCAAGCCCGCACCTCTCTGCACATCACAGGAGTTCACCGTAGTCTTTACTGTGGTTTGGAAGAGTACGGGACGGCATATTTTTACCTTATTATTCTATTATTAAAATTTTCTCTTTAGAAAATCTGTATCAAGAAAACCATTTTAGGAAGCTATGAGAGCACCGGAGGAGTGACACAATCAAGCAGTCATTGCAGCTGAAACGATTCAGGTAGACGGACTGCCATGAAGCATTGTATGGATGTCCTCGGTTATTAGCTTCCCTTCAGATAACTTTTAAAAAAATAATTTAGTCAAATATTTGAGATTAACTATTGATGGACTGAATCTTGATTGGCCCCCCAAATGACAACAAATCCAATAATGATGTGGGTTTAACCTCCCACTGGATGAATTACAGTTTGAGGACTGCTATAGCTGGCTATGACTAGCTGTCATCTATCAGCTGGATCTCATGTTTTCAAAGAGAAATGGAGGCAATACAAGATGTATGAGCGAGTGTTGGTGTGTGGGTGTCTAAGTGTGCCCCTCCTTGTGCCATCAAAGGCTTTTGGTGACTGCCGCGAGGCTCCGCTATTAGCGCACAGAGACAGGAACTGGTTTCCCCTCCAATTATGACTTCCCCACCTCAAAAGAGGGTCAGGTGGTCCTTTCTCAATCGGGACGGAAGAAGCAGAGTGGCAGGATGGAAAGGGAACGAGGACGTGAGGCAAGTGCTACCATTTGTGGAAATAAAAGGGAATTCCTGATATAGCATTGGCCGTGAACATCAAGTGGGCCTGGACTGGGAAGCTGCTCACGGCTTGACTGTCAGTTTGGATGCGGCAGTTTGCCTCTATGCGGTAACTATATTTGGTTCATTACTTGTAATATAAATGTAATCTGAGCACTTCTCATTGGACCCAACCGAATCGGTTATTCCTCTCAGTCGGCTGCTTTGGCAAGACTTTTTCCAGAAAGCTCTCCGTCTCCTCCTGCTTCTCCGTCCACTAGGTGATGACACAGGGTTTATGGCTGGTGAGACTCACTCGCAGTCTAAAAGCATAATAACTCTGAAAGGCTGATTTAAGACAGACAACTTTATCATATGAAATCTGTTCACACCAACAGAGCACGTGAAGGAGTTTTATCCAGTAAAAGAACGACTAGTCTGTGGCAGAGATCAGTCGGGAGAATAAAGAGGTCAGACAGATGACTCTTTACCTCATCTGTTTGTCATTTACTGCGTTTGCTGTGTAGCCTAAAGATATAACTTTGGGCTGGATATGCTGTATCCATATGTACACACAGGTGTATCAGTACTGACTGCCTGCGTCAAAAGGATCAGCACATGTGTAACTAAGAGGGATCCAACCTCAGAGCTTAAGCTGATATACCATCATTACAGAAGTGATGAGAGTCACTCGTGTTGCACTAGGTCGCAATTTTCATTCCATTCTTTCTCTGCAAGGAGTCAGAAGACGAGATGTAGATTTATTGTCCCTCCTCTGGTCCTGGATTTATGTCATTTATAAATGTGCACGGCTTCCTTTCTATTACACATTGAGAACATTTCAAAAACGACTTGTACATCAAAGCGTCGCCCATGTTTGCTGAGGCAGGTGTGAGCTAATCACATGATTCGGCCAAAGTAAAAACCCATGTTTCCACTTTCTGCAACATTTTGAGCAGAGAAAATATGACGACTACTCTCAGCAGGGTGTGAATGCAGCTACCGATACACAGAAACACACACACTGTCCAAAAGCAATGTCTACTATTTTCACCTTTATTAGGTTGGCAGCAACAGCAAAAACCTTTTGACAAAATTTCAAATTAAAAAAATAGATACTGTGCAATTTAACACACTCGCCTCCTACTCAAACATCAGCCTAGGTGAGTTAACGAAAACGGGTCCACAACACCTGCCAGAACTTATTTTGGCTGTACAGCAACAACAGATACACGCACTACATACTCATATGCAGTATATTGTATAAAGATTCAAACATAAATTAAATAAATATATAATATTTCCTTTAAACACTTTTGACTAAAAGCTTCTATCAAAGCACTTAAAAGGAAGGTGACATAACACTTCTGATTTTTTAATACCACTTCAGTTTGGTCAGTGTGACACAGACACACAAATTATTAAACACTCGGCACTTTGACTGAAGCCTCGTGCCAGGACCACGTTTCACATGACCTGCTACATTAAGCCTACAAAGGCATGAGCACGTGTGCATCTTCATACCAGCAACTGTGATCTCCACTTTAAATGTTCTTAAACTTTTTGACAACTGCTCTATTTTATGTCATTACAGAGTTTTGCTTTCGTGTTATTGTTTGTCACCACATTGAAGATTTTACAGGTCATAATAATTTCATCTACTACCCGACTAATACGCTCCCAAAGTGAATACAAAAACACAAGCTATCAAAATAAAATATATATATATATATATATATCGAATATTTTAAGTCTAGTATTTGACACAGTCCCTACTGTTATACCTCATATATGCCAGATCGTATGGCTGTTGGAGTGAGTTCACTTGGACATTTCTAGAAATGTAGATATCAAAGAGCAGAACATGGAAGTTAGAAATCACATCAACGCTGATAAAGTTATGAAACGACCCATTTTCGACCCTCTTGAGCTTAAAGAAAAAGCTAAGCGCAGTGACGACGTATCCTCGGATGTGTAAAGTTTCACATGGTACGTGAAATGTTTTTAAAAAGTGCAGCATGACCACGTGATGGCAATTATTCTCAAGATAAAATACACTTTTCCTACAAAATACACCTTTAGGCACATAAAACAATCTATAATGCGTTAACGTTGCATTAAAGTTGCAACTATTTGAAATCCAACACCATCGAGTATTTTGTATTTGGAGTATTTTGAAGAATGCTGGCGGTTCCTCTGAGGACCTGCACACATGTCCACAGCTTTTCACTTTTGCCTCATTTTTTTGGAGCATCTGCCTCCAAGTTCACTTATTTGAATAACCCCAAACAAAAACTAACACTGCCAGCAGTTACAGTAAACTAGATGAATAAACCATTATTAGTTGCTCCGGAACAAACTCAGACTGACCACAGGCCGGTGACGACACTACAGCCTGAGGATTAATCAAAAGAGTCTAAGATCTCATTACAGTGATTTTAGCTTCAATTTATAGCGTGGCCAGAAAGACTAAACTGGAATGCTCACATACTCCATGTCAAACATGTCAGCGAGAATAAGACCGTTTTACTGGCCCTACAGTAAAACACCACAAAGCAGCCTTAAAATGATGGGATGACCTGGCTGCTGGACACCGGCTGGTGTCCTGCAGGGTTTAGATCTCACCCTGGGTCAACACACCTGAATCACATGATGAGTTCATTACCAGGCCTCTGGAGAACCTCAAGACATGTTGATGAGGTCATTTAGCCGTTTAAATCAGCTGTGTTGGATCAAGGACATCTAAAGCCTGCAGGACACCTTGAGGCCTGGAGCTGGACACCGCTGGCCTACACAAAGTGTCCCGCAGCAGTAGATCGGACAGTTACAGTATCTGGGAGCTGGGTTTGCTGTGTCTCCTGGTTTCCCGCGTGGCCGTTATGCACTACAGGGCCTAAACCACAAACTGCTGACACCACTACAGGAGCCAAATGGTAATTTGGCTAAAGACTGCTGCTGTATTAATGTGAAATTCATTTTCTCGTTTGTATAAAATGCATTTTATACAGAGTGGAATGCCTACCCTACTGTGCTGTGGTAAAGTGGGAGTCAGTCTGTTATGTAGTTATATAGATTTTCACGTCTATTTCAGAACTGGGAGAAATAAAAGACGAGGCAAAAATAAAGCGCACCGCCAGATGACCAGTTCAACGAACAAAGACGAGGTAAACAACCAATAGCCTTAAACGTTTACCCTGTCATTTGTTAACAAACAGATCAGGTCACATTAATCCCAGCCCCTGTCATCTCAATACTATCCTTCACGTGAGCCACTCAAAGCACAAGAAACTTGTGACATCTGAGGCCCCGCACCAGAGTGAATGTTAGTGGGTTCAAAGCCACATTCAACAGTAAAACATCTGCATCCTCACAGCAGCTCATGTAGAAGAAAAGATCTGGACAGTGACACTTATACTGCATCTTCATCTGTGTTCACAATCCAGCTGTCATTTGTATAAAGAAAAGATATTTATTGGCTGGTTCAAAATCATGAAGTCATGCATCAAACTGACTGAACACTCATAATGGGAACGTCAGGAACGCTGAATCAATGGGGGGGATTTCTGATGCTTGTGGAATACAAAGCACAGAGGGAGACCTTGCACTATTTCACTGACTTCAGTTAAGCGTCATAGCATGAATCTATGCTTAGCCTGACATATGCTTTGTTCCAGTTTGGAAATAAGGTGCTTTGCAGTGGGAGGAGCACGAATCAGCTGATGATATTCAGGTCAAATTAAAGTTGTTTAACAATCTCGTACAGGCCCAATCACAGCAGCACCTGAACTGATGGACATTTGATGACCAGCAATAAATAACTGTGTTAAGCAATTTTGTTCATTTAAAGGCTTTAGTGCTAAAGCTGCACAGCCCCTTGGTATATGAGATATGATCTGCATACTGTCAGAACAGAATTACATTAAGTTTACTTTCTAAGATTAGCAGCACTTATTCATGTCGTAAAATCTTTAGCTTAAATCTCAGCTGTAACCGATCACCCAATCAAGGGGGGGCAGAACACCTGACATAACTGACTCCACCTGCTCACTTCTTAAAAACAGTCAAAGCCATTTTCCGTCGTATTTGTCACAGCAGCACACCGGCTGCTGTCACTGTCGTACGTGTAACATTGATATGGAAACGTCCACTTAGAACCTTTAAACAGGTCTGTGAGCACAACTGTAGATTACACTGTATCTACTGATGACACACACAAAGAGCATGAAGACATCCATTAGACGGTTGCTCTGAATCACAACCACTAGCAAAGGTTAACAGACATGAAACGGTCACATTTGATTTGTGAGGAGATATCTATGAATGTTTTGGCATTTACAGTTTTGTCTCTCCGGTAGATCCGATCTCATCGATGATGTGCACAGAGATGTAAAGGCTAAGAGAGCCTTCGCTGTAATGTAGAGTAAAAGCCACCGCAGAGCGCCCGTTTCGCTTGAAATCTCAGTTTAGATGCTGCAGTCATCTCCTTGAAAGGGTTTTAATGCAATTACCAGTGCCCAGGATAATGTCACAGTTATCAGCTAAAAAGGTTGATACAGTTACCCACTGAGCCCTGCCAATTTAACTACGAGTTAACTAGCTGCTAAGCATGCTGGGATTCTTATTTCCTCATCCTGTGGGAGACGTGGCTTCAGATGGAGCACGAGTTTGCCCTCTTTCTTGGTTTAGGCTCGCCAAAGTCCCGGTCATCTGCAGCACAGTGGCTGAAGGAGCAAATGGTCTGCGAGAGCCTGCGCATGCCCAGCCGGAACACACTATTAGACAGGCTGTAGATGACACAGTTGCAAAAGCTGTTGCTAATGGCCAGCCAAGTTGTTATGAAGGAGAGGGCAGGGCTGTCCAGCACGTGGGAGCTTTCTAGAAGAAAGTAGATTATGTAGGGCAGCCAAAGCATATAGAAAACACTGGTAATGCGAAAGAGTACCATCGCGTAGCGCCGATCCGGCCCGTGCCCCCCGTGATGCCCGCCACCATTCCCTTCACCGGCCTCCATCTCCTGGCTGGGGAAACGTGCACGTCGTTCGCTGATCTCCCTGTTGTGTTGCTGACAAATGCGGAAGATGTGGTAATAGGTAAAGCAGACCACAAGGGCAGCAGGCGCATAGAGCAAGCACACCACGAAGCCTGTGAAGAGGGCGGAGGTGGGCCAAGAGTGTGCGCACCACTCGAAAATATCCCCGTGATAGCCCGGCTTACCCCAACCAAAGAAGGAGGGGGAGAAAATCAGGCTGGAATAGACCCAGATGAGAGTGATGCAGCCTCGCAGACGGCACGGAGTCACCAGCTGGTTGTAGGACAGCGGCTTTGTTATAGCCAGGTACCGGTCCACGCTGATACAGGCCAAGCAGGCCATTGAAACACTCTTCAGAACAGAGATGACATAGCTGAAAACTTGGCATGTGACTGGCTCCTGGACACTGGTTGGGTAGTGGAGTAACGACAGGGTGGGCACCAAGCAGCTGAGCCCCACCAGCAGATCGGCGTAGGCCATGGTCTGGATGAAGTAGCTGGTGGTGTAGTGGTGCAGCAGAGGGGCACAGTGGAACACAAAGATCACCGTCAAGTTCCCAGCAATAATTAGTACAGTTAGCAGCACGATGACGGCGGTCTCCAGAATGCAAGCATCCAGGCCTCCATTCAGCCCCCAGCCCAAGGGACAGGAGTGGTTCGAGGCCCTGCCAGGAACGAAGTCTCCATGGCTGACGTTGGCAGTGATGGAAGGGTCTGTTGTCAGTTCAGACTGGTTCATTGTTCTGGGTGCCGTCCAGGTGGGTCAGGACTGCGGCGTGTCACCCATAAAGGCAGCTGGGCCGAAACTGGAGATTCTCCTGTCGCCCTCCTGTTTTTCGCCAGGCGTCTGCAGCCAATCTCAGTTCACAGAGCTGAACATGCTCCCTAGCGTGCCCACGCTTTCGTTCGCCTTACTCTCATATCGCTGCTCGGTCTCGATCAAATGAACGCAGACTGGAGGAAAATCAATGCAGCCGCCAGCAGCGTAGGACAACCCGTTCGGCTCTCCTTTCCAATGATGCATGGTCAGTGAAAGTAGTGGGTGGGCAGCGGTCAGTAGCACGAAGAAAGTGCATTCCTTCAGTAAACCTAAAGCTTCGGCCAGCACGTATCCCAGCGGTGAGCTCACTTGCCGCTCTGCCTTGCAGTCGGTGGCCTCATCGTCTGATTTAAATGAGAGTTGCCACCAGGAGGCTGAGGGCAGGAGATGTCCTCGCAAGGGCAGAGAGCAAAGATGATGCGAGGGAGGAAATCACACAAGGTTAAAGCACGAAGTCCAAAGCTCCACTCGATTCACTAAAGAGCCCCAACAATAATGGAGCATTTCTATTTCACTCCTTAAGACCAGCTGAGATTTTCTGGGTGCCGCTGTGGCTCCAAAACACATTTTAGGTGATCGCTATGTTTAATTAAAGCATCAGCGATGTATAATTAAATTCATTTCTTTATTACAATCCAAAGTTTCACTGTGTGCCAGAGTGTTTACTATGTAACCGCAGGCTTCCCTTATTTTGGTGGTCCTCCGGCCAGTGTCTGGAGCCCGTGTATGCCCAGCTATTGTCTGAATCAAAACACAGACACGGGCTAGAACAACACGGGGATCTCCGCAGGAGATAATGTCACAGCTCTCTCAGCACACACAGTGGTGAGGGGAAATGTGTTTACAAGGCATCCCTAGGCAGCATGAGGTAAAGCATCCCAACGTCCAGATGACTTCTGCCAACAATGTGAAGTTTAAATCCAAATGTGCAAACTTGCCTCTCAGTGTTCTGGACTGCAAGTTGTGAAAAAGACAAACCAACGTAAGAGTCGAGCGGCTGATGAGTGTTTGATGTCAGACTCCCATGCAGGCAGACGCGAGGACTTTCCAGGAGAAATGAGAGGCCACCTGAATAACTCAGCGCTCCAATCACTTTGACTCCACAGCAATCCTGTCGCAGACACTTGCAGAGAGGGGTTTGGGAATGAATCGACAGTCGGCTTATTTACCCGACACTTCCATTTTCATTGTGGTATTCTTGAAAATCTGGCAGCACCTAGAAGGGCTCGGGACCTTGTCCTCAAGTGCTTAATGCAGCCGCAGATTTTCCAAGTTGCCTTAGTCCTTTCAAGTGTTGTGGAGGGGGTCCTATCCAACTCTTCTGTCAGTACAGCTGTCGCCTGAACAAAACACTGACGGTACAACAAAAGGGAATCCGCTCTCGCAGCATAAAGAGAAGAAAAGTCCCAGTCGGAGTCCCGGTCTTTTTTTGAAAATGGTCTCTTTTATTTTAGATGAACAGGAAAAAACAACAACACGTTTTTAATTAATAATTCCTCAGATCCTGGCACACTGAAGGATATGAATGCAATGCATCTGTCCAAAGCAGCAAGTAAAAATGAAAGGCAAAAAAAGGGGGGGATGACTGCGCTGATGGAAATGAGTTAAATCTGCAGCGAGAGAAGCGAGGGGATGGAGAGTCCCTCAGCCCTGGTGCAGTGAGGAGAGATGCTGTGACTGGCTTACACTTCCCTCCCTCCCTCACCACACAATCTCTCTAGCTTGCACACTCCAGTCTCTCTCTCTCCACACACACACACACACACACACACACGCACACGCACACGCACACACTCCCTCCTCGCTGCTCACAGCCCCGCCTCCTCCCCTCCCAGCTGCACCTGAGGCTCCCTGCCACATTATCCTGCCTCAGACTGGCTTTCTCCCAGAGGTACATTTGGATACATTTCCTATTTACATATCACTTATCTCTCAAACTATTTCTATTAGGTGAAGCCCTTTTTCTGAATCACTTTTTCTCCCCTTTCCTGTTCAGTCACACAGCCCTTCATTGCACACATACCATAAACATACACTATTCACATTTTAACTGCAGTTGAGCAGCTTTATGTATTTAAAAACAAAAACTACTGAATCTAAAAATATTCAAATGCAAATTTCATAACATCGGTGAGTCATAATATGTACAGTGTTCAGTCTCAGCTTGCCACAAACAAAGTGTACATAATGTACATGAACACTCAGTTAACCTCCAGTATGATAAGAAACATCTTAATTATTGGAAAATGCATCTTCTGCATGATCCAAACAGACTCCAGGTTTCTTTTCTTTATTTACCAACAGCTTAGCACACTTATCTCTGCCCCTTAGTTACAGTTGCCAGGTATTTCAGCCAGTTGGGAGCATCCTGAAAGGGATCAAGTGACAGTAAATTGGCTAATCTAAAGAGTGGATGGAAAGAAACCGGCCAGCATGATGCATACACAACTGAAACTTTGTTAATATTACTGAGAAACCATTAAAGTCATTGAGTGGTGGTCATTTTGACAGGAAATCGTTACACTGCACACATCTAGAAAACAACTTTAATTACTCTGGAAAACAAACCGACACATTAACGTCTGAGTGGAGCGACCATGGCGTGGACTGAAATAAGCCAGCGAGCACGGTTACTGTGGGGCATATGAGCCAGCTCCATGTGATTTTTTGAAGACTGTTATATTAAAAAATAATAATAAAAATCTACAATAGGCCAAAGCCACACAGAGCGAAAGAACAAACATGCATCGCCTGAATAAAACGGGGGATGCAGCTTCAAGAAACACTGCTATCGGGATATAATGGTAAATGTGTATGATCTTATAATAATAGGAGCTCCTGCGATTTCATTTCTTCAGTAATGCAGCAGCTTATGACAGGACATAAAAGCTGAAGAAAGGCTTGCACAGACCTGATGACTTTAAACAGATTATAGCTCAGGGATCAAAACAGAACGTAAGAGTTTCTCACTGTAAATATTTCTGTTTATATTAGTAATTAGAATCGATAAACTACGACATCATGATTATTAAATCCATTTTAGTATTTGACTTTAATAGTAGCGTAATGTCTAAACCCTCATGTTTAAGGTGACATCAAGTCCTACGTACATTACTGAACCAATAATCTTTGAGAGCAACACGCACATCTATCAAAAAGTGCACAATTAACTTTGACTTGAGGTTGCAAAGACAGGCAGTGGGAAATAACATCATACTGAATCCACTATTTATTTGGTAACGCTATGTTGTTAGCCGTTACTCTGGAAAAGTGTTACAATTTGACTAAATATAGAAGTCGGTATGCTCGAGTCAAAATGAGACTCGATTCTACTGAAACAGGTCAAACTAAAAACACTAAAATAGATCAGGTGAAGTTCAGGTAGACAGTTGTGCTGTCACTGTGGAAGGAGCCAGTCAATGGAGATCTCTCATCACAGCGCTCTTTACCTTTGGAGGTGGACACTGATGAAAAACACGACCAGAAGGCCACCGTTAATAATTCATTCTGCTCCAAAACAAAGCCAGCGGGGCCACTTGGAAACAAAGGCGGAGGCTGATTCACCTTTCACTGCCTCCCAGCATCCCTCCCTCCTCCATGCCTGGGCTCCTGCTGATTTCAGTCTAAACAGCAATGTACCAGCATAAGCAGGGAGTTTATATCTACATTAAAAGGTGTTTGGCCTGGTGGTTTATCCAGAGCGCGGTAAAGAAAGTGGCAGGCTGTTCGCCGTTATTTATTTATTTATTTAGGACAGTGCATGTTAATGAACATAAATGTAAAAAAAATTACATGAATGTAAACATACCAGATTATAGCCAAGGGCTAATTTCCATCTGTTGTCCTTAAGCATAAAAATAGACATAATAATTCATAAAAATTCATCATTCATTCATAATAAAAACTCCATCACCAAACTTACACATACACACCATTCTGTTCCCAAATAAAACATTAAAACTATACAACTTATACATGATCACACACTTGATTTGTCCATAACCAGTTTTTAACCTTTGCCTTAAACAAATTGAATGTCGAGCATTCTCTAATGGGTTGAGGAAGACTGTTCCACAGATGGCCTCCCTGGACAGAAAGGACGTTCTGCCCAAATGCTGTCCGTCTGTGGGGTATAAACAAGTCTCCTCGGATTGTAGCTCGAGTGGTCCTGTCTGAGCTTTCTTTATGCCTAATGAACTGCTTTAGTGGTGGTGGAGCAAGGGAGTGTAAGACTTTATATATTAAACACACTCTTTTAAGTTTCACTAAGTTATTGAAGTTCAGTAATTTATGTTTTTTTAACACATGACAGTGGTGGTGGGAAGTCGGTTTTTTGTCAAGTAGTTTTAAACTTCTTTTATAAATGTTTTCAATAGTTTTAAGTGTTGTTGGACAAGCAAGTGACCAGGACGTCAAACAATAGTCCATATGAGAGATGATCATTGAGTAAAAATAAGTTTTTGCAACATTCATATTTAAAGTATTACGTATATGATTAAAATTTCGATTATTAAATTTAAGTACCTGGGACACTTTATTTATGTGACTCTTGAAGGATAATGTTGGGTCTAGAATGACCCCAAGATATTTAAATTCTGGAGCTAATTCAAGCTCTACTCCATCCAGGAATATGTTTGACTGCTTCAAGTTTAAGGGGCGTTTTGAAAAATACATACCGACAGTTTTTGAGGTGTTCAACATTAGGCATGAGTCCTCCAGCCAGCTATGTATTAATGCTAAAGCAGCTGTAAGATCTTTGCCACCTGCTGGACACTATTTGCTTGCGTATATATAACTGCATCATCTGCATACATTTGAGTAAATATATTTGGACAGACTTCAGGTAAGTTATTGATAAAAAGAGAGAACAGTAAGGGCCCAAGAACAGATCCTTGAGGAACCCCTGTATCACAGTCTAAATATGGAGATTTAACCCCATCCAACACCACACACTGTTTCCTGTGTGAGAGATATGAGGCAAACCACTGAAGAGCCTGACTGGAGATATTAAACCAAGTCAATGTGGATAACAATATCTGATGGTTTACAGAGTCGAAAGCCTTCCTTACATTGGACACACCAACTAATCACTTCATCTCCTACAACAAAAATAAAGTAGCAACAACTACTTCGTTCTCCCTCTTACAAACAGAACCCTGCAAACGGTATTTTTAAACAGGACGCCCCTTGTTGAGAGTCTCGAAGTTCAAGGATATGAAATAAGATTTTGTTGATTATACTAAGTGATTCCATCCCAGAGCAGCTTTAAGTTTTTCTCACTTAATCTGCAGATAAACAACATTACTGCTGTATCCTGACAAATCACATTTAAGATGAATCTAACACCCAGATGAAAATGCTGTTCATTGCAGGTCGTTCAGATTTATTGAGGTGATACGAGCTGCTGCGACTGCAGTGGAGGCAAAGACACGGAGCACTGGACAAAGAAGTGACCAGAGATGAGGTTGGCTAAATCTCCTTAATGCGGGCGTCATATCAGTGTCAGCGCAGACGGCCGATGCAATTATCACTGCACACCAGCAAAACTCCAGAATCATTTTATTCACTTTGGCATGGCAACTTAATTTCACTCAATACTAAAAATTCTGCATCTAATCAGACGTGTCCAAGCGGCACCACATTAACATGACTGATTACACCATTTCAGCTGCACGCACACACACGGCAGAGGGTCCTCAGTAAACATCAAATCTGTCGTCGAGTCAGTTTTTAGCCAACCTTCAGTAACTACAGAAATGATACCGATGTTTCTGACGCTGTGGATCAGAGGCAGCACATCCTCCACGGTTTTCCTACTGTGGAAACTGTCGGTGAATGGAGACTGGAAACTGCATTATGGACAGGCACACAGACCCGAGGAGGGAGAGTGCTGTGAATAGACCTATATTGTAGGAAGCGGTGTTGCTTGGCTGTACTGCAGACGTGCAGTGCAGCTGTTCCCCGCAGATACTATAAAGGAGGACGGGACAGCGAGGCGAGCGTGTACGAATGTGTGCGAGAGGCTTTGATTGGCTGACACCACCACAGGGATTTGTCTTTCAGGCAGTGATGGGAAACCTCAAACCTCAAGGGTGAAAACTTATCGTCAGTATGAAAATGTCAACATATATAAAAGATGAGAGAAAAGCTTGTATGTGTGCACAAACTGGAAAACTAAAGATCACATGGCAACAAAATGAATGTTAGTGAAATAAGAGGTGGATTTCTCTTCACACCGTGCAGCGGTCGCCACAGTGACTATGTGAAATCCATAAACAACTACTGCAGGTTTCAAAGGCAGAACACCAACTCATTAGGCGAAGGAAGACTGAGACAAAGGCTAAAGGAGACAGAATTGTCATGGCGATAACTTCAAGCAAAGAAAAGTCTGTTGACCCTCACAGTTACCATGGCAGCCTCTCTTATGTACATTGTGCTCCGTGTATCTTTATGAGCGTTATTAGGCGTGGGTGTAGTATTATTCCAGCCTGGCTGATGCTACCTTTGATTACACACAGACTTTATATGTCATCACTAAGCTGGCTGCTCACTGAAATGGAAAGCACCTTAGAAGTCCTGGGAGGAAACCAGGTGAGATCCGGGAAATGAAAGACACACAGAAAAAGCTCGTCTTCACAGACGAGGTTATACACGCTGCAAGT